AGGGGAAGGATAGTAATATCCCCTTCACTTTTCCCAATTGATGGAGTAAAACCATTTTGAATTAAGCTCCAATGGTCCGTAGATCGACATATAAATGCATCATGTGAATTCCCTGGGAATCCAAAACTGCCCCATACAAATCGATTGTGTGAATCTACTATTGCCATCAAAACAATTGAATAAAAACTTTTACAATTTTGATACTCTTTGCATGCCTCTAGCCCTCCTGGAGGGCATTTCATTGGTATATGGTAACCATCTATTGCTGCCCAACAGCATGGAAACTGTAAAAATTCCTTTAGATCAAAGATTTTCCTCTTGAAATCTTGTGTTTTGGGCATGTGAGTTGACACGGTTTCACTCCACAAATGGTCCACGAGGACACTTGACAAACTTCACGTATGATTAAGGAGACAGTAGAGACGCCAAGTCCAGTCATTTCCACAATTGTATAAAGGTAATCTCCCCTTCCTAGTCTATATAGGCAAATAACCAGCCTGAGGTCTGCCAGGATCAGGTCTTCAGTAACAGTTTGGTTGGTAATGAATGGCTCAATATGGTTCAGAATGTAATGAAATGTTGATCTTAACACTCAAAACGTTTTCTTGAATCGTGTATCTGAATATGTGTTGCATACCTTGTCCCACCATCCAGTTTTCCTCTTAACTAAAAGAGAACAACAAACTGGACCAGGAACAGTAATGTTGTCCAATTGTGAAATTAGTAGCAGCAAGACAGCAACATTCAAAATTCGTCTCCTCCTCGCAACAAGGTTTTGCAACAATACATGTATGCTGAATTGCCTTCTTCTCCTCTCTCTAATAATGATATTTGCTAGAAAACAAGATTGTCACTTTCAGCACTCATTTTCTCCGCCATTTTGAAGCATTGTCGAGACAGTACTTAGAAAGCCGCTGACCTCATTATTATAGGGCTCTCTCAAATTATTCAGATCGACAGCAATCAGTTCGATGTCTAAATCAACTGGCGAACTTAACTATTTGGGTCGACCCAAATAGGTATTAGGTTCGGCACATGAAAAGTTTCACGTTTCAACTAGGCCTAAGAGCTCCAACCCAGTAAGGTACTTGGAAGATGAGCAAGGCGTGGCGGGAGACTTCAGCATTTTTAAAGTGGAGGACAAAACAGCTGAACCAGCAATCCTAATTCACGTCAGAATGAATGGCTCAAAGATCTCAATGGAACTGGACACAGGAGCGACCCTGTCTGTGATGTCAGAAGAAATGTGGAAGGAGGCGTGTCCAACCGCAACACTCCAACAATCGAGCGCGAGACTGTCAACCTACGCAGGGGAACCACAGACAGTTCTCNTTTACCTTTGTGGAACAACACGTGCCAACCGAACTGACTTTCCGTCGGCCTTGAAAGCCAACAAGCCCGCAGTGAAAGCGCTTCGTCATGGCGAATCTCTCTTTCGTCGGAAAGGTGATGTTGTAGCTTCTGTGTGGAAGGACAAGAAAGTCGTGGCTTTTCTCAGTACTCAGTGCAATGCAAGAGGAAATGAAACCGTACGCAAAAAACAGAAGGATGGAACGTACCTCGAAGTTCCTTCTCTTCCCGTAGTAAAAAGCTACAACAAGTACATGGGGGGAGTCGATCACAGTGATCAAATGAGACAATATTACGGTACTTCGAGAAGGGCGAATAAATGGTGGCGGTATCTGTTATGGTTTTGCTTGGATGTTAGCATTGTAAATGCACACATTTTGATGAACATTGCGGATAATCATCCAACCTTTACACAACTTCAGTTTCGCATCGAAATGGTCAAGATGCTGATCGGCGAGTTCTCATCACGGCAACATGCCGTTCATGAAGGAACCGTTCAGACTGGACACTGGCCCGTTAAAATGAGCAAGGGAAGATGCAAGAGATGTTTAAAAAGGAGAAAAACAACTTTCTGCAGGATGGGATGCGATTCATGTGGCAAGAGGTTCTGTTTGGATTGCTTCAAGAACCATAACACCGAAGCGTAATGTGGCGCGAAATTCAAACGCCTAGAACAATGAACACTCTAGCTTTGGTTTAAAAAAAAACACTTGGAAGACATACCAGTACATTTCGTTTCTGTTTTTTTCAACTTGATAATTTTTGCTGTAAATATTTCCGGAGTATATTATTGCTTTACTCTCCTCTTATGGAGAAATTACTCATAGAAACAGCATATATGCTGTCATTTATTGATTCAAAAGGCATGTTGCATGATTTTGAGGTTTGTTTTGTTGACTTATTTTCTTATATTGGAGATGTTTTTTATCAAAAATGAAAACTTCAATCTCTGAAGAATAAAGTTTGTTTGCATTGCTTAGTCTGAAATTGTCTGGTTCACTCACTATTTTGCTAAAGTTATATGGCACCTCAAATTTGCCTCTCAGACATCACCATGATACCTGAACCCCATGGGCAACTAGGGCATTTTCCTAAATTGGCACCCTTGGGAGTGAGAGGGTTAACACACGACCAGGTTTAATTCGTATAACATGTCTTGTGATCCAGTTTAATTTTTGGTTATAATTATTGTAATGATCTTTTTACGTTTTAGAACCAGTCTTCAAGAATGTACGTCAGGATCTGATACATGGAAAATCTTGACAAAGGAACTAAGCCGGCAAGTTTTTAACCTTCCAGTGTTATCGTATTGTCACCTAATGAAGTTGTATGTTTTGTTATATCATTTAACTCCCTTAAAGTAGGTCTCTTTCTTGTTAATCTAGTTTAGACGAGGACCTTAAGAAAATGGAAAATTGACAGTGTCCAGACAGCACCATGTACCAAAGTTACATTTGATGTCTCGAGGATAAGTGACGGAAGAATCCTCTGCTGGCAATGCATGGAAAGTGTACTGAATGGTGGTTTCCTTTGCAGCTGATGAAAAAGTATGCAGGTAATCAAGTACGCATTTTACAAATTGGTATCGAATACAGAAACGTATCAAAATCAAGCGCCCAGAACAATGACAAGCAATCAACGATGCCTTGGAATCAGAATTTTCCAACTGCGACTCTGATGGTTCATAAAACGCCATTATTATGAATATTATATTAATACAACGTAACGTTTACATTGTTAATCGTAAGATGTAGCAGTTTTTCTTGAAAACAAAACAATGATTACTCTCCCTTAACATTTCAACTGTCTGTGAAGTTGAAGTTGAAGTTCATTTATTTGTTTTAGCAGGTTGATTTATTTGGCAGCTGTAATAACTGATGTGGACCTGCTTTTCATGAGTCATTTCAAAAGGTCGGAGAACTGCGGTCTTTTTGCAAACAAGGTAATGTAAATAAATATTTTACTGCACCTTCATTGAATTCAGAGGACATTAAACTACTTTGTAAAATCGGTTTTCTCCTGGGAGAAAATATGTTCAGCAACTGATGTTGATTTCTCTGTGTAAGTACCAAGCTGTTACGTTTCTGTTTACAAATTGATTAAAATAATGTTTAATAATGTGAAACAATAATTTTGACCTGCTAAACAGAATGTTTTCCCTGAACTGAAATAAAAACTTGAATCTTTACATAATTCTATATTTTTAATTAGATTCCAATTTATGTCCAAGGTACTCCTATGGGTGCCCCTACTGGTACTGCTGACCAAACAATGCAGGAAACAATAAGGAAAGTTCTTTGTATGAGGCCACATTGCAGCACAGTATATGCCAGTCCCAATCAGTTGAACTTGAGATCTTCTGTGAAAAAGGTAACGAAAGATGGGCAGTTAAAAAGGAGTTGAAGTGGATTGTAAACCTGATCAAAGAGGAGGGAATCAATTGCCCAAAGACAATCATTTTTTTGTAATATGATGAATGAAATCGCTGTTGTAGTGAACTATTTAATTTTAGACCTAGGAAGGTCTGTGTTTTATCCAGAATTTTCTACATTACAAGATAACTGTATCCTAGGAATTTACCATTCCAATTCCTGGCAGAGCACCAAGAATCGAGTTTTGGCACAATTTACAATGAAAATATTTGTAAGAAGACCTTTAATTCTATTTTAAATGATAAGAGTAACCGGTTAAGAAATCTTTTACTCTCAGCCCATAAGTCGTCTTACCATCTAAGACGATGCAGGCGTTTTGAAACACCAAGGTGGAAAACAAATAGGTTCAGGGACACATTTTTAATGAAATCTTTTATTGAGCATGATATTATATAATATAGCTTTATTAATTTTAATAATGTTTCATCATTTCACAGTAGTCAATTTTATTTTTAGGCTTATTATTATTCTTACATTAGTCATACTATTAGATATTCTGTTACAATTCTTGTAAATATGCATTTCAGCCCCTTAGAGGGCTGACATGTATTTATTTGTGAAATAAACCTTACTAGATTTTAAAATCTAGTAAACCTTACTAGACTTTAAAACGCATACTAATTGCAACAACTGCCTTGTGCATGGGAGTGAACTTCCCTGATGTTCGTTACATTGTTAACTGGGGACCACACATTCCATTCTTGACCAACATCAAGAGGCTGGAAGGGCAGGACGAGAAGGGAAGAAATCCCATGTCATTATCATTTACCATGGGCAGCAAGTTGGACACTTAGAACAAGAGGTAAAAGATTTTGTACGTGCTAAAGGCTGTTATCGTGTCAAGAAATGTTTCCAGCGGGTAAATATGCCAAAACCATCTCTAGGAATGCGCAATACATCATAGCGTTTAAGAACCCCCGCAATCAAATTGGATTATGCAATTTACTCTTACAAATGTACCCTACCAAATGGCAAGAGGTCATGGGTGTATATAACGAATGCATGGAAAGACCGTATTGTTATTTGTGTTTTGATGTGCACACAGCCAGTTGCGATTCTATGCCAGACTTGCAACACAACTACAGTGCAGCATTACAAAGTTTTTTCGCTAGTGAATGGGGGTTATGAACCCCAACTCCACATAATGTCAAATAAAAAGGGACACAAGTTTTGTTAAGGTTAACCCTTTCGTTGGCAAACAGATGAATTCGTCCGCTACTTACCCTCCCATGCATAGGTATACATGGGGACCCCTACTAAGTCTTTTTGGGGCCACTAAAGAGTATTATAGGATATCCAGTCACGTTTCTCCTTCGAAGCGTTGCACAGTCGTTATTTTCGAAAGATTTAGCCCGTTTATTTCGCCGAAAACTTACCTATTCGATTTGTTTGTGCTTTAAAAATGGCGTGTGTATACATTCCGTTCGATGAAGTAGTGGCACGTTGCACAGAAGGTGTTCCTGGTGAAGTTTTTTCGGATTTTTCCGATGAAACTGAAGGAGATATTTCAGACCGCCATGAGAGCGGAAGTGATAGTGGTGTTGGCGAGGAAGAAAGCCTTCCTGATCCTTCGAGCACTTTTGAGGATTCAGATGTTGAAAGCGATACTAGCAATGGTATGTTTTGCATTTTATTTGTCTTAGTAATATAAGCTAGCGTTTTCTTTTGGATATGGATGTTATTTCCAATCATTTTCGCTCGTTCAAAAACAAAACAAACATTTTGCTTTCAGTGGAACTAAGTTCCAAATTTGTTGTTGTATAACAGATGATGACACAACTCGCGATCAAAGCCCATTACGCAATGTGATTGGAAATAGAGGTCGTGGAAGAAGAGGCCGTATTGTACAAGGCCGTGGAAGGGCTGGCCGTGGACGGGCATGTCATGGAAGAGTAGGCCGTGTAGGACGCCCTCAAGATCCTGAATTGCAGTGGTCAAGGACTTACAATCCACCTGCAGATCCACCATTGCCTGAGCCATCCCCTGGGCCAACTCAAAGATATCCAAATGGTGCTGAAATCAGGGAGGGAACAGTTTTTGACCAAATGTTTACTGATGAAATTTGGAATTTGATGGTTACAGAGACAAACAGATACCATGATCAGCAAGCAGCATCTGAGCCGAACAAACACAAACGAAAGTGGCGCCCAGTTACCAAAGAAGAGATGCAAGCATTCATTGGTATCATTATTTACATGGGAATTGTGAAACTTCCAAGAATCACCATGTACTGGAGTATGGACAACCTTGTGCACCAGGAAAGTGTAAGTTCTGTGATGACCCAAACTAGACTTTTCCAGATTTGGAGATACTTTCAGGTGGCTGACAATGCCAGAGCTCTGCCTAGAGAAGATCCTAATTTTGATAAGATTTATCGGGTCAGGCAATTTTTAGATCTGGTCATGACCAATGCACAGCATCTGTATCGCCTAGACCGAGATGTATCTATTGACGAGACCATGGTTCCCCATAAAGGTCGCCTATCGTTCAAGCAATATATTAAGAACAAACCTGTGAGATGGGGTATAAAGCTGTGGGTGTTGTGCGAGGCCAAGACTGGATATGTTTTCAAATTCCAAGTCTACCTTGGAAAAGAAGGAGGAAATGTAGAACACAACCTAGCTCGAAGGGTGGTGAAACATCTCATTGCTCCAATTGAAGGCAAGTTCCATAACTTGTATATGGACAATTTTTATTGCAACCCGCACCTTTTCTTGGAACTTGAACCGAAAAAAGTGCTTGCCTGTGGAACTGTAAGGCCAAATCGTAAAGGGTTCCCCAAAGATATTGTGATTACTTCTGCCGCCGAAAAGAGAATGAATCGTGGAGATTTCTTATGGAGAAGCCATGGCAATCTTGTTGCTATGGCATGGTATGATAAACGTCCAGTCTATTTGATCTCCACTATCCATCCTCCAAACAGTACTGGGACACCAACCACAGTTCAGCGCCGTTCTCAAGCAGGCCCACGTGAAGCGATACCTTGCCCTCCAGCTCAGTGTGCTTACCAAGAGTATATGGGTGGGGTCGACCTGGCAGACCAAATTCTTCAAAGTTTTTCTGTTATTCGAAAGTCAAAAAAAGCCTGGAAAAAGCTTTTTTACTATGGACTTGAGGTTTGCCTGTTGAATTCTTTTACCATTTTCAAAAAAGTGAAGCAAACGCCTCAGGATTTCCTTTCATATCGCCTTTCAATTGTTCGGCATTTGCTGGAGGGAAAGTGTTTCAGAGGAAGACCTGGTCGTTTGCCAAGTCGACCACTAGCTGATGTGGATGCATTGAGGCTGAACAAGCAGTATCATTCTGTCCCAGTTGAGGAAAAAAGGCGAGACTGTGTGGTTTGTGCCAAGATTGTTTCGGTACAAAACCTGAGCAGAAGCATGAAGTCAAGAACAAACACTGTTTGTGTCACATGTGACAGAAAACCACTGTGCATTCTTTCCCATCGCAATTGTTGGGAGAAGTGGCACAATCTTGTAGAATACTGGCGATAGTGGTGCTATTATGCAACTGACACCAACAAGTGGACTGAAATGTGACTTCAAATACATTTCTCTACAGTGTGTATCTATATTCACTGGAAACTGAGTTTCAGCAATGTTGTTTTCTATCGGGGGGGGGGGTACTCTGCAATGTTTTAGGTGGGGGTGTTCCGCTGAGGCCTAAGAACCCCTACCCCATCTCAGACCAAATGGTCAAATTTGGTACCCCATCAGAGATCGGAAAAAGGAGTTTGTTTACACTAATTGACAGATTTAGGCGTCAAACTGCCATACACGCTCATTGAATCGAGTGAAACTTCCACAGGCACGGTTCCAGATGAAAAATGAACTGGAAAAAAGATGACTAAAACACTTAATTCAAAAATTGAATAGGAAAAGTATTCCCCATCTCAGACTTAGTGGGCGAAACTGAGACCTCATCTCAGACCTAGAAGGTCAAAAACCCGACTCCATCCAGCGGCACATACCCGTATAGCTTATATATGGGAGTACCCCCCCCGTTTTCTATATTGGACAGCAGACTCTGCTATATGTTGAAAAAGTCTTTTTATTTCCTTTACACAAGTAGAGGCTGTGCAAAAGTGATTCCAAGTGAATAATTTTTGCTTTTGGAACATTTATGTCATATTTTTTTTGTATGCATCAGGAAAATATAAATTTCCCGAAACCCGACTGACGGCACATAAATGCCTATAACTTTGGCTACGATTATGATATTTAGATGAAATAAAAAGTCTCTGAATCCTTACTTCTTTTTCTTTTGCAAAATGCTTTCCAAATGTGCTCTTTTCTAAAGGTATCGTGTGTTTTTAGATTGAGAACAATGAACAACAGACAAGACAAATTTCTTGGTCAAACTTTTATTGGCTCAAAATATTTATGGTAGCACCTAATAACTTTTAAATGTATTTTGGAGGAAAGGATTTTTTCTCCTGTGAAAAATGATGTATGGTTTATGGGTGGGTAGCAGTCATTGCTGACCATCTACAGCCAAATTTGTAACCCACAGTCGGGAGAACAATTTGGTTGCCCAGGAAACTGCCAACGAAAGGGTTAATTCACAAATGCTCAAAGTGTGTATGATATCTGTTGGATTCCGTAAGGAATATATAAAAGAGACAGTCAGCCAGTCCTGCCTACATTGTACACTGGTTTCAGTTTTGATGTTCGGGTATCAGTTAACGTGAACTCTCTCTAAGGCAAACACCTCTCTAAGGTGGACAGTAAATCTGGTACTGAGTGTGTGCGCCTTAGAGAGAGTTGACTGTACATAAGGCATTAGTTGGGGGTACAGCAGAGGCAGATATCTGTTGTCGTACAATCAACCGATACACACCCACTCGCTACATCTACTTTGTCTCTGATGTACCACATACCATTAAAACAACCAGAAATTGTTTGAAGAGCTCAGGCTCTGGTACTTGCACAAGGTTTATGTGGAATGATGGTCTTTATATTTTATGGCAACATATTTCAGCAATGTTCTTCTAAGACGATGACAAAGGATTGAAACTTCTCCCACGGCTGACCTAGGAGCATATTAATCTGAATTCCTATTCAGTAATGCATGTGAACCTTGCAGCTCAAGTCTTGAGTGCTTCCATGTCTTGTGTACTGAAAACTTTTGGTCTCCCTGAAGCTGCAGCCACTGCTCAGTTTTGTGAAATGGTTGACAGAGTGTTTGACTGCTTGAATGTAAGAAGCAGAAACGAACATGAAAGGAAGCGAAAACCTACACATCTGTTAATGATGTAAGGTATGACTTCTTAATTTTACTTGAAAAAATAACTGCATAGTCACTAATGGTCTTCAAATTCTAAATTCAACGGGTTCGGGTTCTTGCTAGATTTTCTAAAGTATCTAAGGAGTTGGAAAGGAAGTGCTGATACAAGGCCAGCTAACTTCACACTCAATGCTAGAGCAGGAATGTTCCTTTCATGGCAGATCTACGAAGGCTATAGGATAACAGTGCACTCCGTGACAGAGGCTACTAAGTTCCTTTTGCAAGAGGGCATGGGAACTGGTGCTCTCAGAAAGATTCTGTCAAGATCCTGTTGATGAGTTCTTTGGAAAGCAGAGAAAAATAGGAAGGAATGACAATCCAGACATGCACAAGTTTGGATATAACAACCACAACATTAGGATTCAGAGGTTGGTCTCCTGTCAGAGTGGAAACACCAGAGGAAGAAGGGACAAACACAAAGCATGGGATAAAGGGTTTCAGAAGATAAAATGAAATGGAATAAAGGTGCTAATATTCCTTAAATATGAGTGCATTCACCTTGAAAGAAGTCCCCAAACTCTGTTATTTATTTTCTTTACTAGCAACTAAAACTAAGTTAATTTGTACGATATTGCCTTTGTACACCCATGAAAAAGTACACTATTGTTTTGGGCTATATGAGCTATAGTACAATATTTATTAATTACAAAGCAGTTGACATTTAATATGAAATTAACTCTGGCTTGATCTCTCCCAATTTCATCATTGTTTCTTTGAAATAGGATCAACAAAGCAACGCTTAAAAAAGTTGATTGAATGAGAAGTGAGCCTCGTGAGAGGATTACTTGAGCCTCCTAAGAGGAGGATTGAAACCGACTTTCCATGGGCCATGTGGCTTTTGGACATGAATCAGCCCACGGTTGAGACCCGTTTCTTGATATGGGGGCAATTGATGAAATTGCTACTTCGAAGCCATGTAGCAACCATGAATTTCAAAATGCAATGAAATCTTAATGTTAGCACTATCCAAGGGACAATCGTTTGGTATGGCTTAACGCTATTTAAGACTTTTAGGTAAAAATGGTTTTCCATTAGGGACCACTGCAAAGAGATTTACAGGACAAACAGATGTTGCTTTCACAATCGTTATGGCATTGTTATAGAGTTTAAAAAAAAAANCAAGTATCATTTGGCCCAAGACAATGATAAGTCCTCCTCTTCAACCGGTGAGCTTTCCTCAACTGACAACCTTCTGGATCTACCTCTTTTAATATATCTTGAACTATTATACGAGGAACATGCAAACCTTCCATCTTTAAGGTGTGCCATACCGTCCTGTATCCGCCACATGATCCAGGTCCATGGATAATCTCAAGGATACGTTTTCTAACTGCCTCTAAAACCTCACCAGAATCATTCGCCTTGAAAAAACTCCTTCTCTTGAGTCCATATGTCTTCAATCGCCTTAAAAGTGTGCTCTTACTTATTTCATGGTCATGACGCTTAGCAAGGAAATGAATGATTTCTTCATAACTAAAACCGCGTTGAAAATAATATTTGATAATGGTCTCCTCGTCAATCTCCACCTCAACTTCATTGCTAGAGTCTTCTTCTTCACTTGAATCTTCTAGCCTTAGGTCTAAAACGTCAATGTAAAAAAAATATAGGGATGAACACAGACCACTTTTTCTACCTCTTAACATGTACAATACAACACAATACAATACAAAGAGAAACAAAGAGAAAAAATATAATTGACAGACACTTTGCAGGCGTACAGTATTTTCCACCTGTTGAAAAATCCTTAATTCACCAAGGCACATACATAATAAATGTTTCTTTTTACACACAGGCTACATGCACAATCTCATTCCAGACACGTGCTACTCAGCTAATTTGTAGCAGTGTCTTCGCGCCCATCGTTGTTTGGAACTAAAAGAAATGCAAATACGAAAACTTTAAATTAAGAAACGTACCTTTACCACAGCTTTTACAAAAGTTTGCATCTTCATCTACTACCGAACCACACGCGGAGCAAAACATGATGAACTCGAAAAATGGCGGTTTCCGAGCGAGTATTGTGTTATTGTTACACGACAATCCATTTCAAATGCAAATAGCAACCGCTGACCAACCGCTGACCAACTCGTTTTCTTTATTTTGCCGTGAGTTCATTTTGTTTTGCCGTGAGTTCATTTTGTTTTGCCGTGAGTTCATTTTGTTTTGCCGTGAGTTAATTTTGTTTTGCCGTGAGTTAATTTTGTTTTGCCGTGAGTTAATTTTGTTTTGCCGTGAGTAAAGTTTGTAGTGCCGTGACTTTTTGTTTTGCCGTGACAGTTGTGGGCCACCGTAATTAGCAGCATCATTACAAAGCAATCTCTTAAGAAGTTGGGCTGTTTGAAAGAGCTCAGAAGTTGGACTGTTTGAAAGCATGAGTCTAACGGGAAAAAGTTTGAAAGAGCTTTGGGCAAAGGAGTTTCTTCTTAACATACGAGAAGAGATCCGCAAGGAAGTCGATTTGCTCAAAGCTGGCCTTCAAGACCTCCGAAAACGATTTGAAGAAATTGAAAAGTCCCAAGACTTCATTTCAAAGAAATACGATACAGTGATATCAACCATTAAGGATGTAAAAGAACACAATGACAGTCTAAAGGGCGATATTAGAGGGATAAAAGAAGACATTGGGAAGCTTGGAAACGATTATCTTAATGTTGAGATCCAGTTGGATGAGCTTGAGCAGTACGCACAAAGATATTGCCTCGAAATAACTGGTAATCTGATCGTACCAAATGATAACCCAGCGTTGCTGGTAAAAGAAATGTCTGAGATTATGGGAGTGAACCTCGGCCCAAATGATATATCAATCGCTCACCGTTTGCCACCAAAGAAGAAAGTGAAAGATTGACTAATCGTAAAATTCACTCGAAGAGAGAGAAGAGAGAAAATCTACAGCAACAGGAAAAGATTAAAATCTCAGCGGACTAAAGACCTTCTGTCGGTGGTCTGTGAGCCGGAATCTGTGGCTGTAAGTCATAAAGCATTAATTCATCTCGATTAAAGCCTGACGCCGTCCAGAAAGCGACTACTGGGCAGAATTTTACAATTCAAGCGCGACCGTAACTACAAGTTTATCTGGATGGCCAACAGTAAAATAATGCTGAAGAAAACAGAGAGCTCAATTACGAAATGTTTTGTGACATGAGGAATTCGAAGAGTTCCTCGATCAGCTTCATTAACTATTGCTCAATTGAATGACCTCTATAAATGTATACTATTATGGATCTAGACATGGCTAATCATCAAGAAAACGTAAGCAGTTCTTTAACATTTTATGGGTTAACTGATTGTAACAGTGCCCGTGCACTTTAATTCCCGCAGTATTTTTATATTCTCCTTTTTTAATCTCTACAGCATTTTACGTCACAATGACTTCCCGCTAGTATCACGTGACCTTAGCTTATATGCCGCAAACACTTATGTAATTTACGAGAAGGCTCACAGAAATTCGACGGGCAACTTCACAGAACTTTGAGCAGCCTTTAGTTACATTAGGGAACTTCCAGCTATCGCTACTTAATTCAGAACCGTCACAATAAATCCCAGCCTTGTGGAAACTGTGAGTCCTTAGTTCATTTTTAGTTTCACGGATCTCTCCGCCACAGGAGCTGACGCCGCTACAGTCGAATTTCTCTACAGTTCAAATCAAGTCAAGCAAGTTCACCCGAGCGAGAAGAATAGTCCACCCTTGGAAACTAATGAGCAGTCAACCGAGGACACAAAGTAAGTCCTTTCCTTTACTATCGTAACCAAAATAGAAAAGGCAGAAGAGCACGTGCTCGTCAGAATGAACAATGGAGCGCTGTCGATCTACCTAAAGAAAAGTCAAGTTTTGCTGGAGAACAACGCTTAAATTGAGTAAAAATCTGCAACTAAAGAAGATCAGAGAAAACCTCTTCAGGCGACGAGGAGAAAATTAACCTTGCATTTATTTAAATTAGTTACTGGTGGTAACAGAGTTTTAGAAAGCAAGGAGTGTCCGTGTCTCATCACCTTGTCGAACTTATCGCCCAAATACTTGAAGTACTACGTCACGAGCCACCCACAAAACAATGAACAAAAGACAAAACTCGGCGCTTTACCAGACGAAACTAGTGATACTGGCTTTGGGGAAAATTCAGAAAACTTTGCGCAGAGTAAAGATGCAATCGTCCCCGATCAAGCAGAAGGTCTAAAAATTTATGAAAAAAGCGAACCGTCGGAAACACGTTCTTCGGACTATGACAAAAAAGGGTATCGAGTTCCACTCCGCGGTAAAGGAAAGTTCTGCTAAAACCGCAAACAAGAACTTTCACGCAAACGTCACTGCGTTCCACACATACCTCGCTGGCTAAACAGACCGAGAGCAAATAGACAGAAAGGTCAGAGATTTGATTACACTCGCGGAAAAAACTGAATTCGAGTTAAACAGTTGGTTAGACCTAGCGAAAAATACCCCCCAAGCAGAGCTGATAACCGAATTACTTTCAACTGTAAAAGATTCAATTCAAGGAGTACAAAGCGCGGCGTTAAACAAGGTGTTGACATTAGACAAAGTTGAGACCTTGTCTGTAGGATCAAAATCGTCATGCAAGTCAAGACATTCGATAAGGTCATGCACATCCGGTTCATCGCGCCCATCAAAAGAAACTTTGATTAATGTGAAAGCAAAACGCGCAGCGCTGGAGCAGAAATTAAAATTCAGCGATAAAATAGAAGAGCAACAAAAGATTTTAAATAAACTGAGACTGCAACAACAACTAAGCGAAACTTTGGCAGAGGAAGCCGTTTATGAAGAGGCGCTAAAAGAACAAAATCCGTCCAATTTTGACGACATAGATCAATTACCCAAAGAAACGATTATTGATCGGTTTGTAAACCAAGCAGAATTTGTTCCCACTCACCCGACGTCGACCGGAAGTTTGTTGTCGCCTCTAAATAAGAACGAAGGATTGCCAGTCAATCCCTTCGCCGACACAGGACATCTACCTCACATAAGACCTTCAGCCACCATGGCCCCAACTGACACAGGACTCTTGGCTCCACCCAATCTTGCCACAGACTATCCAACAACATCTCAGCTTCTGACATTCTCCGCAAACACAGGCGGCCTAATTACCTCGCAGTCCTTTGTTTTGAGTACTTCAAACAGCCTGGCAGCTCCTAAGACAGCCGTTAACGCCAGTACCCCATTCACGCCTTTACCTCAAGTACCCCCGACTCCTCATCCTCGCGATTTTCCGCCCGTTACTACCAGCCTAAGGGCTGTCCATCCGTCCGCCTCTGACCTACGTCTGTGCGCCGATCCCTTCACCCCTGCGAGTTCTCCGGCCACTATGTACCGAGAGATCAAGCCAACTCCGCATGTTCAAGGTGAAAATCGCACTCCGGCAAATTCAGACTCTGTCTTCCAAATTGCCGAGGCTTTGGCTAAGGTAACTCAGCTGCAATGGCTCCCGCAAGCCAAGCCGGATGTTTTCACTGGTAACGAGACAGACACTAAATTCTTTGTTTGGGAAACAGCTTTCGACGCTCTCATCGACTCCGCACCGATTAGCGCTCAAAAGAAACTATATCTCCTCTATCAGCATTTGGATGGAAAGGCGAAGAAAGTTGTTGAGCAACTGCAGTACATGGTCGCCGCTAGCCCAGAAATAGCGTACAGCGAAGCAAGAAAAAAACTGAAGTCACGCTTTGGCCGCCCCGCGATTATAGCTACCGACTTTGAGAACAAGCTGGTTAATTGGCCTAAAATAGGCAGTAACGACGCCTGAGGNTATATCAACAAAGGTTTTGTATTTTTGTAGTGATTTTCGGGTTAGAATTTGCTTAGTTTAGCCACATACTCTTTTTATCTTACTACTGTATCTTATTTATTTACTCTGACCTTTGTCGCACAGCATGTAATTTCTCTGCTATATGAACTACAATTGTTTTCGTTTTAGCAGCTGTAATATTTTGCTTACCTGCTTCCAATTCATTGTTGCTATGATTCCTGTGTTTTCATTACACTAGTAATTTCATTTTCTCCTTTCACTGTTTTATACTGTATTAGCTCAAGTTGTAATATTAAGCCTAGCTTGTAATCTTTGTTGAATTCATGCTTGGTGTAGCAATCACTATTTTTGATAGTTTCTGTCACACAATTTCCTGTTTTCAAGTACTTTGTTTGTTTCCTTTCTTTACTGAATTATTTCTGTCTGTAGGTTATCTTTTGCTGTTAAGTACTTTTTCCTAAGTCATTTTAATCTTGCCACATCATTTGGCTCATTGGAACTTTGTTTTCTTATTTATTGTTTAGTGTCACTCGTTCCCGTTTTTTATTGTACCGTTGCATTTATTTGCTGTGTAATAAACTTGTAAATCTTCCCTCGGATCTTTTGTTCTTACGTCCACCGTTTTGGCCGCCTTACATTTTGGTGTCAGGAGTGGGATTCGAGTTGTTTAAGTAAAGTTTAGCATAAAGAGAAAAATGGGAACGAGTAACAACTAGGAATGTCGGCTGAGGAACAGCTCACAGCTTTGAAGCAGAAACTTGAGGCTCTAGAGACGAAGCTCAACCAGCAGACAGCAAGTGGGAGTACCGGTTCTGAATCCCCTCAGCAGATTACCGTCAAAGTCCCCAGAGAGCGCAAACTCAGAAGGTTTGCTGGTGGCCGAGAGGATGGTGTCCTGGAGGAATGGATCAGTGATGCTAAGCGTGCTATTGCTGGGCATACCGAATCCGATGCCATCGACTTCCTCTTTTACCATCTGGAAGGGGCAGCCAAAGAGGAGGTGCATCTCCGCCCAGCCGATGACCGAAATAGCCCAACGGCCATTTTCAAGGTCCTTCGCGATTGTTTTGGCGAAGGCCTGACGGGAACCCAGGCTCTGCAGCGATTCTTTGAACGAAAACAACATGACCGAGAATCAGTGAGGGAATTCTCCCATGCACTGATGGTGCTCTTGGCACGCGTGGAGCGCCTGGACGAGGGAGCTGTAACCGACAAGGACAAACTACTACGGGACCAGTTTCTCGAGAACCTCAGAGACCCCCAGCTCCGAAGGGATATCAAACGTTGGGTACGGGACCATCCTACAAAGACCTTTCAGCAGATACGGGACGAGGTTCAGTGCTGGATGGATGAGGATGGTAGCTCCGAGAAACGTTCTGCAAAGGTTCGTGAGGTCACGGAAGAGCCTACCTGTGAAGAAGCTAGGGCACTGCCCAATCTGCAGAGTGTGGTTAAGGAACTCGTGGCTAGCCAAAAGCTCCTTGCTGAAAATCTGCAAAAGCAACAACAACTCCTGGCCGAACACATAAGCAGTCAGCAGTCAACCCTGGAAAGGCAACAGCGAAGCATTTCCCAGCTGATGTCCCATAGCCGTAACACGTGGCAGCCCGGCTGCTTCGGGTGTGGTAACAGGGAACATTTCCAGAGGGACTGCCCAGGAAATGG